AAAATTTTTCTCATTCTTGATAAATAATGATAAATAATATTTTACTCTTTATTAAACACCCAGTATATATGTATGAACATAAACTAAATTATTAAATATATATATATTTCATTAGTATAATGCTATACACATTGAAATGCATTTTTTTTTTTTTTCTTCTTGTAATCACAGGTAAGTAGTTTTAATATTATATAAATTGTTTTTATTTCAAAATATTTATTTTCAAGAAAATGTAGTTCTTAGGGTTAGAAATGCAAAGCTTTAAAACCTCTGTATTTAATTTGCACATAAAGCTTTAAAAGTTTTACAGTACTAAACTTAAAAACCGAATTTTCAGAAATACTCGTGTATTGGGTGTTTTTGATAATGCAATATGCTTTCGCATTTCTAATTTAGAACTTAAATAACTTAGAAAACAGTAACACGCAGCTGCAAAAACTACAAGTTTGACTTTAGCGCGTAAAAAGAACTTTTTATTTTTTAAAGTTTAAAAAATAAAATCTCAAAATTGAATATTTTATTATTTCCAGTCAACTGAAATATAAATATAAATTTTTTATTAAAGTAATGCCAAAATTTAAAAAAAAAACTTATTCTAAGATAAGGATAAATCCGACATTATATTTTTAAGTAAAAAGTTGTTTCCATAGCATAAAGTCAAAACTAAGTAGTTGCGCGAGTTACGTATGCTGATTCATCATACTTTCACATAACAACATAATATACTTTAAATATACAAATGTAATATGAATACCTTTAATTTTGTATAAAATATTATTGCAACATACTCGTAATTATGTAACTCGTAATTGAAAATAATTTTATTTATTTTCTTTAATATAAACAATTTCTAAAGGTTCTTTTTGTAATCATATACATTTAATTCAAAATTATTAAATTCAATTACAAAAAAATTGCTTACCAAAATTATTAATATTGTAAGCGAACACAATATAGACTTGACTTAATTGGCGCAATCGGTAAGATCGGTAAAGTCCGTTTATTCGAAATTAATAAGTTTAGTTAATAATTCTCTGCGACAGTTTATCGCATTCAAATAAAAAGCAAAGGGGCGTTGAATAAAAAAAACTATTTTATAAATCTAATAAAATAAAAACTTTTAAAAAATCAGTGTTTTGCTAAATTGTGCTAGTGTGTACTTGTATATTGTGTCAAAGGAATATTGACATCGAACAAATTTAAAGAAACCACCCACACAAAATTTCTATAGGCCTAATAACCAAAATAATTCTAATAGAGCAAACAATTTTAATCATAATAGTTTTAATAACATTAACCGAAACAGAAATTATAATAACAGTAACAGAAATAATGAACATTTGAAAAACAATTATACTAACCAAAATTTACAAAATAGTAATTTTAACAGTAGTAGTAGAACTAATCAAATTAGTAGTAGTAGTGCTAATACTAGAAATAATCATAGTTTTAATATAACAAATTCTAACTCGCATGGTACTCAACACATCGAACCAATGGAAGTCGATACAAGTACCACGCGTAGAGTAAACAACTTACAAGTTAGTAAATCGAAAAGAAACTTTGAAATAGAAAATTTTCACTCGCAAGCCTCGGAAAAACATCAGAACTTCCTTATATAAAAGTTCAATCAAAGGGAAGACCTTTAATATTTTTAATAGATTCTGGTGCTTCAATGAGCATCTTGGTAGGACGGTCTTCATATTCCAGCCGGGTTAATGGACGACGACGACAGAGTAGAAATAGAGCAACACTTTGACATATTAAAAGGCAATAATGATAAAATAACTAAAAATTTAAACCAACAAGTCTACATTAATACAAAATTATCGGATCAAATTCAAAACATAACCGATCATATTAATAATGTCCAGAGTAAAATTAAAGAAAGTATTGATAAATTAAAGAATGATATAACAAAAATTGATTTAAAATTAGAATTGTTAAGCATTAAATTAGAGTTAAATGAGAATATTATTAATACCATATTAAACCAAATAAAAAATTTTAAAGAAATTATATTAGCCAGTAGACTTGAAATATCAAAAAATATTCTTACTTATGAAGAAATTAAATTTTTAAATATTACTATAGAAATGTTACCATTTATAAAAAATGCAGTGTTATTTAAAGAAAACAATATTATTTTTACGTTTTCAATCCCAATTTTTTAAATAATAAAAATAATTTTAAATAAAAGAAAAAAACTTTTGAATACAAAAAATAAAAAAGTGTTTTTAATCCACGTAATAAAAAAAAAATACAACTTTTCTTACGCGAAATCTTGAATTACGTAAGTATATATATATATATATATATATATATATATATATATTATAGTAGTATATTTGTGGTATTTTTACATAAAAATATGTTATATGTGTTATACTTCTATTAAGCTTGATAAATATTTATTATTGATGATTTGTTTTAATTATACTTAAATATAGTATTACATATTATTTAAGTTCTGAAATCAGGTACGTAATAAACATTCTCTAAATTCAAAATTTCATTATAATTCAGGTATAAATTATTACAGTTACAATTCAGTATATGAATTGTGATTTCTGAATTATGTGTCAACAACATTATAATATTACTTTGAAGTTACAAATTTATTAAGAGTTCGGAATAAACATATTCAAACGTAGAGGGAAAACGCCACTTCAGTTATATGCAACTTAAATTATGTATTATGTAAGTTATTATAATTTAAAATATACATTGCACAAATAAGAACAGTTTAAAATTAAAATTCGCAATTTTTAATAATATTTTAGTCAAAAATCTTGTATAATATGTGAAAATACCACAAATGTAAACACATATACATATATTATATGATTAACATAGAAAATATATATAATTTTTATATAACGTGTTTTTTCTTTCATATTTTTTAAGAATTGTTTAATGCCAAATAGATTTGATTTTATATTTTTAATTAATTTAATGAACAAGACATTTTATTCATATGTTTATAATTTTGTATTAAATTTGTATGTAAATATACGTATATATATGTGTGTGTGATAAAAATATGCAAAAATATAGAATATGTATATGTGCTTTTCACAAAACTAAATTCTTTAAATTTACTCGAAAGAAACAAAAAACCAATATCAGTTCTATCATGAATTCCATTCGTAGAATCCTAGGAATAGCGGCGTAGACTTTTGAATAATCACAAATTTCTTTCGTAGAAATTATGAATCACCAGTGGCAGTATAATTTTTCGGAGTGTCAAAATCATTATTTTATTTCAACTATCAAATGTTTATTTATATTTTTTTATTATATTTTATTATATTTAGGATATTTTTTAAAATATTGATACAAAAGAATATTGTTTAAAATATTCTATTAAATGAAAGTTTTGAAGTTTTCTTAGTTTTTGAATAATTTTGAAAAGTGGAAAAAAAAGATTTTGACAATATGAAATCATTTCCTTTCATGTTAGCTGTGTTAGAGTAACTCAAGTTCAAACAAAACAATTCAAAATTTGAAAGTTTTGGTAAATTCTTAAACGTCAAATTTTACAAAATCTGAGTTGTCTGAGTTTACGGATACTCTACTAGGTTTTTACTCTCAGTCAAAGTTTAAATTCTTAAACGTTTAAAAAAAGTCAATTAAGCGTCAAAATTGTAGATTTTTTTTTACCAGGCAGACAGTCTGACGTAGTAATTCAGTAAATAAATTTGATGTGTTGAGTGACTATCATTACGTTAAAAATAATATAAAAAATATTTTTATTGTTAATTTTTAATATGTAAGTATAAAATTATTTTAAATCTAAAAAAAAATTTTTTTTTGTTTTGGCGTTTACGGATGATCAAAATTCAAAGTCAATTACGGGTAAAAAGTTTACTAGATATTTGTCCGTAAAAGTTTTAGTTTCAGACAGTTTGCAGACTAAAATCAAAATTTTGACGTTAAAGAATTTGCGGTTTAATATGACTATTCTCTTTCAATTGCCTGTTACGAGTGATTATTTCTTTCGTAAACTTTTGAGGGTAATTTTTACTACGAACGTAATTTATGATTACTCCATTACGAATATTTGGAGCAGAATTTTAGTAATTCTTAATTGATAATATGATACTCGTAATTTTCCAAATTTCGAAGCTACGAACGAAATTCATGAAAGGGCTGTATACGTACCTTTAAAAATTGCAATAATATTTAGTTTAGGAATTGTAATTACTGAATTGTATATTATTATGTACAATATTGTAATGGTATATGAAGATATTTTTAGGGCTTTCCACTTCTTTTTTTATATTATATTATTTTAATTTAATTTTACATATTTATGTATATGCTATATAAATTTTTTAAAATTATAAAAAAAAATTAACAGTTTCATTTTAATTTTCCCCTTAAAATATACCATGTTTGGTATAACCATGATTCCAAAATACATATAGACAATATCTGAAATGGTCCTTGACTTCCAAAATGCAATAGCACAGTATTAATAAACAATTCAACTTGTAAGTGTGAATTGCTGAATTGTATTGTATATTTATATTTTATTTTGGAAGTCAAAGTCTCTTATAGCGGGGAAACATTGTAAATTTTGAATGCAAATTGTTTATTTTGGAAATCACGGAATTACCATATAAAAATTTCATATTTTGAATTCAGTATAAGAAAAATTAGAATAAAAACAAAAAAAAGGAAAAACTTGACTTCAAAATTCTAGCAATTTCGATATTAATGCACAATATAGCTCATGAATTTTAATTGCTGAATTCATTAGCAATGCAAAGTGCTAAACATTATTTACTGTGATTTCGAAGTCATGAATAAAATCAAATAAAAGGAAAAAGGAAAAATAAAAAACAAACCTTTACTTTATTTTTTTTATAATAATTTTATATTTTTAATTTTATTTGTATCAATAATACGTAAACGGTATATTTATATACTCATATATATGTATATGTATATGTATGAATGTACATATAATATTTACATTACTTGTAAGTTAATAATAATTTTCTTCTTTTAATTTCCTTATTTTTAAATGCAATATCAAATGTATATGTTTTGTTTTTGTGTGTGAGTGTAATTAATATTTTTTATATAGTTAAAAGAAAATATTTCGTAAAATAAGCAAATATTTTCCTTGTTTTACATTCAGATTATTTTTTTTTAGTTTAAAAAAGAAAAAAAAATACAAATAATTATTTCGGACATCAGAATTACATCAATGATGTGGTCGTAACAAAATTCAACAATAATCATTTATAAGCCGATTTGTATATTAATACAATATTATTGTAATTCCAGTGTGGTGGTAACTTCCAAATTTAATTAAACATAAAATAATAGTAAAAAATAAACTATTTTTATACTTTTTCCTTGATTCGAGTTCAAAAAAGGTCCATCCAATTTTCCATATAAATAATGTTATATTTTTAAGGATATGTTTATCTGCTTTAACAGCTTTAATAGCAGATTATTAGGTCCTATAATTACTGAAGTTTACAGTTTTTAAAAATAAAATATAACTGCAAAACAGAATCCGATCTATACCGAAATATACAACTTTTTTCAAATTAAGCCGGAAAATTATTAAGGTAAATGAATACTTATTTACACACAATAATAAATATTATTATAAAAAATATTTTTCAAATATAATTTTAAAAAAATTAAAATTTACAATTTTTTATTTTTGTGAGTAGAGAATTTGTTTTTTTTTTCCTTTTTGGTTCCAAAATTTTGCAATATAATACACGATTCTTTAAATTTAACTCAGCTCATGAAATATAAATTTGCTCTAAATTTCAACTTGATCATAAATTTCTGAATGAAATTTAAAACATCGTACTTTATATCGTATTCGAAAAAGAACTTAAACTACAACAAATATAGAAATTCCCTGGAATATTCAAATTGCAGTTTTATTAAAAAAAATTAACAATTCAAACTATAGTTAAGCTAAATTGTGAAATTTAGAACATCATTTGACTTCAAAATTTAGTACAGTATGCACAATATCTACAGTACAATAAGTATAATAATCTGAATTTTACATTAAATATTAGCACATAATATACAATTCAGATTATTTGTTGTTGTGTGTGATTTTGTGTAGGCAATATATTTTCTCTGAATTTCTAAAGTCATGAGCTTTCATGTATGCAATTTGAATTTTCAAGGAATATCTTAAGAAATTAAATTATAAAAGAGTTTTAATTATAATAACATATGTTTGGTAACACTAAAATTATATAATAGAAAAAAAAGGTATGTTATTTATATTAATGATGTATTTATATATATATTTCTGGACTACCAAGCTTTACAATAATACAGGTGTTAATACGTAATATTCAGCTTATGAGTTATAGTTGCTGAATTCCATTTTAGCACAATATTAGTGTAAGTTTGAAGTTCGGATATTTTTTAATACAATTTATATAAGCTATATAAAAATAAATTTTAGCGTTTTGTACTTTATAAATTGGAATATTCTAAATCCAGAAAAAAATAATTTTTATTTCTAATAAATTTTAATAAAAAAGAAAAATAGAAAAATTTATCAAATATTTTAATTTAATTTGGACACATTTATTTTCTTTTTTTTTTTTTTTTAGAAATATAGAGAGAGTGTGTGTTTTCACATATACATATGCAAACTCACAATTTTCAAATACATATGCAAATATTTATCTATAAAATATTTTGTTACAATAAATGATTTTTATTATTTTAATTTTTAATATTTTTTAATAATTTTTTTTTTATTTTTTTTTTTATTATTTTATTAATCACAATTAAGAGTTTTAGCTTTCAGATCATTTTGGACACCATTTTTTTTTATTTTATTTTTTTGACAGAATAAATTGTCTTTTTATATATTTTGTATTTAAATTAAGAAAAACATGAATGCAATTTTTTTTCTTACATAAATTATTACATAAATTTATAGTTTGTTCTCTTTGTTTTTCCACATATGAATATAATTGGAATACACTTGTATTGTTTCATTTTGGGTCTTTAAACTGCCGAAACCTGAGCATCCTCGTCATCTATATATATAAATATATAGAAAAAAAAGAAAAAAAAAATATAAATAAATGTTAAAAAAAATAATTTCAATAAAAATAAACAATTTAAAATAAAATGTAAAATATAAGAAAATAAAATTATAAAAAAGGAAATAAAATTTTTATCTTTTTAAGCAGAAACAGCAGGAGTTGGAGTAAAATGCACAGCTTCCGAATAAAATATCAGATAAGCAGGTAAATTTGAAAGCAAATTTCAGAAAAATAAAAGTTTACTTCCTATTGCTGCCGGCTTGATAGTTTATTTGAAAAAAACAAAACGAAATATAAATTGACTGTCAAGACTTTATTGTCAAACATTTACTCTCGAGGTTTTCAAAACATTCAGTATCGCGAAATTTAGTGTCATAACAGTAAATTAAAATCGTGACAGTAAAAAAAGATTTACTGTGACGACAGTAACTGTCACTTAATTAATTAAATTATTTATTTTTAATGTTAGTAAATTACGCGACAGTAAAAATTTTGGTTACCTCGATATTAAATTAGCAAACTTCTTTTTTTTAGAAATTTGTTTTCAATTATATTTGATTTCGAACCTTTTAGACAGGTTGTTTTGATAATGCAACATGCTTTCGCAAAAACTACAAATTTGACCTTAGCATTGAAAACCTTGAAGTTTTTCTAGTTATGAAAGTTGTCATATGTTTTTTTAAGTTTCAAAAATGAAACCAGAAAATAAAATATTTTATTTCCAGTTCAGTGAAATATAAGTGAAACCAAGAGAATCTCAATGGGCACGAACCAAAAACACTGACCTATCTACAATAAGCCCCACCCCCTCCCCAATACAGTGGTGCTATACGATCCGTGTGAAGCGGATTACTTGGCAACCTGGTATACTAGCTGTCGCGAACGGAGTCTCCCTGATACCAGGTCAACTCAGGGATTATTATAACCTTACTGCGTCATGCGGGGTTCTGACGTAGTGGACCACCCTTTCCCTAGCAACTCGTGGAATTATGAAATGGAAAAAATAAATAAAAAAAAACAACAATAACAAAAACAGAACAAACAAGAAATTGACCAGGACCGTCAAAATTCGGGAGAACACCGATTTGATAACCGCTCAGGAAGAAGTGGATCAGCAAAAGGCTGATCACATAAGAAGGGGCGGTGTTGAGGGGAAAGTTAGAATATCCTCTATTATTATCCCCCCCCCAAAAACAAACGCAGTACAGATAAAGAGTCAGAGGATCGTCGGAGCAAACGCTCCACATCAGCGGAAGCTGGCGTTACAAGGACGTCTCTCGTGCGCGGTGGAAGTAACTGAAAAGGTAAGTCAACAAAAGGGTAGGGGCGGTAAGGAGCAACCCTAATTACCCTCTTTAGGCCAACCTGGGGGCCGAAATGACCCTAATAGACGAGGAATCAGCGGGCCGGTGTCAGATGGTACCTTCGTTTCCTAGAGCAGCGAAAATCCCCTGATGAAGCCAGGAAACTGGCTGAGGACCGGAAGAGACCGACTGAACACCTTCCACTATTTGTTCAGAGGGGGGGGGGGGGAAGAGGACGAGAGTCGTTAACACCCCAAGATGCTCAAGCAAAAAGGAGAAGAACCGGGCAATGAGAACCCATTCCATACCTTCCACATCACGACCGGAATAAGTTACGCCGCGGCCACTAAAGTGGTCAAAACAGCTGTTCTATCGAGGGAATACCCCTCGACGATGCTGACCTAGCAGGAATTAACCCGGCTGGAAGAAGCGATAGTCGAGGAATTAACGAAGAGCTGGGTCACAATCATCCATTTTTAAGGTATCCACTTCAAACCGGGTACGATAATTACCGACTCTGCGGATCAGGAGACGGCGGAGTAGCTGATGGGCCCGTTGGCAAGAAGTCGTTGGCAAAGGACAACGCTGTAATCCCCGCATCTCTAAGGAGGCCGGATGGTAGTTACACGGAGATTGAAGAGCAAAGGGGTTTAGACGCATTTCCTGGCGGTAATTTTGGCCAAAGTCAGATGACATGGGAAAGTGAGACCCCATGTCCTGAGGATTGGAAAAGGGCGGAAAATATTTTAACGTATCAAAGGGTGGGATGGACTATTGAGCCTTATTCTAGTTGTTGCGTCACTTACGTGACATTTGTCGTTGTCGCTGTCACATCATTTGAAATGTGGTATTCTGGTTGTCGAGTGACGTGAGTGCGAGAAATAATCGAAAATGAAACGTTTCAAGTGGAATTGATACATTTTAAAAAGAAATTTCGGCGAGTAAAGTTCAAACTAAAAAAAATTTTCAATATATATATTTATATTTTTAAATAATAAAAAATGTCATTTGCATTATGGTTTACGGATTCATCTCTTTCCGGTAGTGATGAAATTAAAAAAAAACAACAAGGATCGAAAGATTTAAGATTACAACAGCTCTAATCCATTGGATTTGCCAAATTTTTTCTAGTAAATTAGTTGCAAACATTTTATTTTATTCACAGATTTATAAACTATTACAGACTTCCAAAGGAGACCTTTGTATATTTACTGAATATATTCGAGGGAAAAACGAGTACCCGTAAAAGGCGTTCTCTGTCATAAAATTTCCAATTCTTCAAATTTATAAATACTTTCACGCTAAAAACAAAAATTAAATTATGTATTTTATGACTTGATTTATATGTAAAATTAATTTTTTTATGATTTTGTTAAATTGTTTTGTTTTAACTTGTATTTTTGGTGTATCCTTCTTTCTTGTCTATACTTGTAAATACTTTCCGAAAAAAAACGTCGTTTCACTACGGCATATCTCGCATCAGAACGACAACTGGAATATGGCTGAAACACATTTTCCCGCTATTCCCCGATGATTGTCACTGCGATCGCCGCTTAGAATATCAAATTCAAGTCGTAACGACAATTGTCGCTCTACTTCGACAACTAGAATAAAGCTCATTGGCACCTTCCAGCCTTTTAAGGCTCCAGGAGTGCATGGAATATCATCAGCACTCCTGTAACCTAGAAGAGGTATTGCCCGTCTCAATAACAATATTCAGTAGCAGCTTGGCTCTTGGACACATCCCCGGATCCTGGCGGGTGGTTAGGATAGTCTTTATCCCTAAGGTCGAAAGGAGAGACGTGGTGCTAAATCATTCAGGCCAATTTGACTCACGTATTTCTTGCTGAAGACGATGGAGAAGGTTATTGATAATCATATAAATGCCACTGTATTGAATCGACGGAAACCGCCTTGTATCGGCTACATTTCTGGACATTGGGGGGCCTTCGATAACACCTCGCACGAGGCGATAGTGAGCCTGGATTTTCAAGATGCTCACTACAAGGTTTGCAGAAACTGTAGTCGGACGGAGCAAGGTGGACATCTACGTAGCTAGGGGCTGTCCACAGGGTGAAGTCCTTTCTCCACTAATGTGGAGTCTCATTGTGGATTGCCTACTTGAGGAGCTTGGCCGTCCGGATATAGGCGTACAAACATACGCTGATGATATTGCTATCATCGCAACGGGAAGTTGGAGGAGCATCTTTGCGACATAGTGCAAAGAGAACTACGGCTGACATAAGTCTGGTGCGGCAGTGTGGGACTCAAACTCAAACCTAGAAAGACGACCTTAATGCCCTTCACTTGCAGAAAAAAGCTTGAGCGTCTGAGCACTATACCGGTGTGCGTAAAGACAGTAGAAAGGAAAACGGAATTGAAATACCTTGGTGTGGTAGTTGACAGCGGGTTTCTTCAGCGAAGACACGAAGAAGTGGTAAGGACAAAGGCTACACGGGCACTCATAGTGTACAGGGCCACTTCGGGTAAAACGCGAGGATGCCCCCCTCTATCATGTGGTACCGCTCCTCACATACGGGGCGGTTGTATCAAAAAGCAACAAGGAAACTAGAACGTTTGCAGAGACTTGCTTTCGTCTGCATCACTGGAGCTATGAAGACATGTCCAACCGCGGCAATGGAGGTGATTTTGGGACTAACCCCACTCCATCTAGTTGTCGAGTTGACAGCGAAAAAGTTAATTTCTGATCTACTTTCTACAATTCCTGCTTGCCTGGTATTTTGTTAGAAATTTATTTATTTTTTTGCTCCTTTTAACAATATCAATTTTAATAAAAGTAGCACGCGATCATGAATGATAGCAAGCGAGAAAGGTAATTTCTTATCTACTTCCTACAATTCTTGCTTGCCTGGTGTTTTGTTAGAAATATATTAATTTTTTGCTCCTTTTCACAATTTCAATTTTAACGAAAGTAATAGGCGATCATGAATGACAGCAAACCAAAAAATAAATTTTTCATCTACTTTCTACAATTTCTGCTTTCCTAGTATTTTGTTTGAAATTTATTTAATTTTTTGCTCATTTTTACAATTTGAATTTTAATGAAAGTAATAGGCGATCATGAATGATAGCAAGCGAAAAAGTAAATTCCTGATTTACTTTCTAAAATTCCTGCTGGCCTGGTATTATTTTAGAAATATATTAATATTTTGCTGATTTTCACAATTTCAATTTTAACGAAAGTAATAGGCGATCATGAATGACAGCAAACCAAAAAATAAATTTTTGATCTACTTTCTACAATTTCTGCTTTCCTAGTATTTTGTTTGAAATTTATTTAATTTTTTGCTCCTTTTTACAATTTCAATTTTAATGAAAGTAATAGGCGATCATGAATGATAGCAAGCGAAAAAGTAAATTCCTGATTTACTTTCTAAAATTCCTGCTGGCATGGTATTATTTTAGAAATATATTAAATTTTTGCTCATTTTTACAATTTCAATTTTAATGAAAGTAATAGGCGATCATGAATGATAGCAACCGAAAAAATAAGTTTCTGATCTACTTTCTACAATTCCTGCTTGCCTGGTATTATTTTAGAAATTTCCTGCTGGCCTGGTATTATTTTAGAAATATATTAATTTTTTGCCCATTTTCAGAATTTCAATTTTAATGAAACTAATAGGCGATCATGAATGATAGCAAGCGAAAAAGTAAATTTGTGAT